CAGCCGAAAACACAAAGCGAAACCAGCAACCTGTGACTACTGAATTCGAAAAGGCCGTACAAGAAGAGAAGGCAGAAGATAGTGAATCACCAATCTACTCTTGTCCTCAAGAAGGATGCACTCGTGTTTTCCAGAGATTTTCTGCACTAGAAAAACATCTTTCTTTGGAATCCTGCACCAGCATTCTTGAAAAGCAGACCATGTTGGATGTTGCAAAAGAAAAATATGCATCCCTTTTTAATAATTATCTCCTTTTCGACCAATTCCCCAGGCATCACATTACGACACAATTTTTCAAAAATAAATGTCTCGGCGAGTATTTACCCCCCTTTTAAATAAAATCCACCATTGTAATCCTCATAAAATAACCTTTCAAACGGGGGGTCAAGTGCCGTCTGAGCATTACACAAACTGAAACAATCATATATTTACTCACCGCTTGGCCAAAAATTCTAAATTTCATATCCACAAGATCTTGAATACCCCTTGAACTTTTCGACATTTGCTGAACGGCTATATGTGTAAAATACTCTTTGTATTCAAGCGCTTTCGTGTACAAAGTTTCGTATGTATACGCCGACTAGAAATATTTATTTTGAATTTTTCAAGATGTCGGGTTTTACTCGCACTTGCGTACATTGCGCAATAATTGGCCAATAAGAAGCTCCTTTGGCCGGGATGACGTCAAACTCACGCGTGTAGGTGCAATCTGACCTTGCGAATCCATTTCTGGCCTTTGCAGGGTCATACGATACAAGCTTCGCATTGTTTTGACGGTTTTCTGTCGTATTTCCGGTTGGGATTAATTCACTTCGAGCTCACAGTCGGACAAGAAATGGAAATATATTGATAAAAGATACAGATTTGAAGACACAGGCTTGCAAATAACACTCTAAGTAGTGTTTTTAATGGGGATTTTAACAAGCACATTACAAAGACGATATGTTCGAAGGGGCCGAAGTTATTTTCGGCGAAAGGTACGGCTAGTCTATATTTTTGTTCAGACAATTGCGTAATTTGATACAATTATTTACTAATATGATCGTGTTCGACTTTCAAAGGCCCATAAATCGCTACAATGTTGATAACGACTATAACTATAGGGAGGAATTAGTTGAGTCTTTTATTCCTGAATCGAATGGTGGTATTTCTGTCTTCATAGCATGCACTGAACCGAAGATATTAATTTTTCTTGAATTTCGTTCAGTGCTGAACGACTTAACTGGGATGTGGTGAAAAAGAGCTCAGCGGAAGATGTTTGCGCGATTTCATCCATAAGCACTTCTTGCAGCACTGTCGTTGCCGATTCCTATTCTGTTGCCCGGGAGGGGTGGGCACTTAAAGAATCGACAAAAAGTTATCGTTTCAACGAAAGGCAAAAAAGCTACCTAACCTCTAAGTTCAACATCGGCCAAGAGACAGGACGGAAAATGAAAGCGGACGTTGTATTGAAAGAAATGAGGCATGCGCGCGGGGAGGATGGTCAGCGGCTATTCGGTGTCACGGAGTTTCTTTCTGATGAACAAGTTTCCTCATTCTTTTCTCGCATGGCTGCAAAGGTCCGACAGCAAAAGATCACTATAACGGAAGCAGATGCTGCGGCTGCTGTAGAAGAGGATAATTTTCATGAAATGCGAAACAAAGTTTTGTCATCGTTGCAACTACAACACCCTATCGTTTTTGATCAATATAATGTACGTGATATGGTGAAAAGTAGTACTCTGAAAAAATTGAAAATGGATATGCTTCAACGCCTATGCGAAGAACTTAACCTCGATGTTCCAGAAAAGTCTGGCAAGAAGAAGAACACAAAATTACCTTACATCAAGCTCCTAGAAAGTGCTGTTTCCGGATGCTCCTGTAACACTGGCTGACTGCTACAGATGAACGAAAACTGTACTGTACATTTCTATAGACTATACCCTTAAGCAGTAAGTCACAAATTTAGTTATATTTGCCAAAAACTTGACGAATCAAGTTAGCGCTCCAAACAATGATATAGTTTTAACGTACGATGTCTTAAAGCAAAATAGCGTCCCATTAGTAAAGTTTAAATGTAAAAGAGTTTTATTGTTTAGGGAACACTCATACCGAGGAGGTATGAAGATGTTAAGGGGGCACCAAAATATTTTCAGGCATTAAGGGGCGGGGCTCTAAAAGTTCTCTGTATATACAGAAGGGGGGATATAAATATTTCAATGTTTTGGTGATAATTTATCATGACCCAACTAAAAGGTGTGTACATGAGACTGAAAACGCTGTTTCTGACTAACCATGGCGTGGCGCCCGCAATGAAGTCACTAACCTAAACAAATTTCTCAACTGCCCTTCTGACTGTGGAAGAAAATTGTGTCCTTGTCAACTAGTTTAATGCTGAGCATAAAAATACCTCAACTCCTTGGTCCTTGGGTTCTGATTTCTGGGCGGCATTGAAATTTTGAAGTATTCTTTGGGGGGGGGGATTGTCGAAAATATTGCGATAACTCCAACAGGGCCCCGAAAAAATATGCCCCTTTTTGAAGACATCTTCATCCCCCGGCATAGTAAATAAACAAATTAAAACTGGTTACTAAATGAAAATTGGTTTTGTGAATTGCCAATTTTAGTTTCGTTAACAAAATTATAGATTGACTGGTTTAATGTGACGCGTTTGTACTAGCTGGCCTCTATTATCGATTGATCTCAGATAAGTTCATGCAAGGGCATGAACTTAAAAAACGCATTCATCACTCAGATCTCTAGTGTACTCTTTTAAAGTTTGTCTTAAAAATTAATAGCGTTGTTTTCGTTATTCCGCGTTCTTTTGTTAATGAAATGCGACAAAACTGTCACTGTAATTACCGTTGTAATGTACAAACGTGTTGTCAGGCAAAATCTAAAAATAGCATCAACATTTTGACTTCTCACTGGTGCGGGTTTTGCTTGCCGCCAGAGATTTTTTAATATGTTATAAACAGATGGCTACTTTGCAAGTTAGTCTTATTTTCGTTGCAATTTGTCATGTACCACGGTCCATTTGAACACATTGAAATTGACAAAAATTTGCCTTTCTGTTGTGAACCGTAAACACCAAATATTAGCTAGCTTTAAATGTCAAGAAAGATTTTGGAATAAAAAAAGATTTTGCTGCTAAGACAAAATATAGAGATGGTCTTAGATTATACTAAAAAATGGTCGTAATATGTTTGAAGGGTAGCCGTCACGAACGCTTTAAAATCCTGTATTTTGACTGATGAAAATTGACTTAAAAGTCCCAAAATCATGTTTAGGTAATTTCACGAAAAATAAGAGGAGCTGCGACTTTTGAACTATATTTTTCAAAATAGCTCACTCAGTGGATACTATGGGTAAAATAAAAGGAATTTCGAATTTTCCAATTTGTCGCCCAATTCTCGAGATTTACGGACACTCACTCTTAAG